ATCATAACACTCATGCGATTTGAACGCTCCCACTTCTCATGCTCCTTCTTTGCATCAGGAGTGCTATCCGCATTGAGAGGTTGGGGTTGTTCAGTTCTTAATGCATAGTCAAGATCCATGCAGCCAAGAACAATTAATATGTTCTCTTTCCAAACCTTGAAGTTTGTCCCATTTAGCATGGGAATTGAGTTGATGTTAGCAGAAATTGTTGCAGCAGATGCATTAGCTGAAATAAAACAAAAGAATGCTCACATCAATAACCATAATCAATAAAATTCAAATAATGACAATCCCCATCCAAGATACCGGCACAACATTAATATCAAGTCTTTGGACAGTAATATTAACTTGTAAGTGATACCTTGTTGCAATGATCAAACATTGACAATAACTCATGTCAAATAATGAAACTATCTTTGGATCGATTCATTATTCACATGTAAACCTTATAATTGTCACACGCTTATCATCGCAGATGTGTATACAGTCTAAATAAATATTAACCTTCCTTTGGGCCGATTAAATATTTACACGAAAGCATACACACAAACATCTCACATTCCTCATGAACAATCTACACAAGAGAGGTTACTTTGGCAACTTCTTGTTTCAATTAATCAATTAGAGTGAGGGACAACCTTAATTCCTTAGTGTCATAATATTTGAATTAAATAATTGATTAAAAACCAAATTAGATTTAAATTAAAAGGTTTTAATTTAAATCAACTGAATTTCCAAAAAACTTAATTGGGGTCTCACAGCTTAATTAGGGCCCATAACTTAATTAAGTATACCAAAGTGCACCCATGAAAAGCTGAGCCTTAACCATAGTGAACACGAAGTTTGCTTAACTTCGAACGCGAGGTTCGACTGTATTGAGTACGAGACTCACTTAAGCACGAACGCGAGGTTCGTCTGAGAACGAACGCGAGGTTCGTTTGAAAAATGAACGCGAGGTTCAACTTGAGAACGAACGCGAGGTTCGTTAAAAAAAATGAACGCGAGGTTCGACTGAAGCACGAACGCGAGGTTCGACTTAGAACTGAACGCGAGGTTCACCTTAGAACTGAGCGCGAGGCTCACATTAGAACGAACGCGAAGTTCGTTGAGCGCGAGGCTCACTTGAGAACGAACGCGAAGTTCGGTTAATATTGAACGAACGCGAGGTTCGTTTGAAGCTTACCGCTTCGCCAAAATTTGAAGCTTAATGTTCGCCACGTTTTCACGCACGAACCCTTAGGGTTTCAAACTGAAACCGCCGCCATTAAATCAAAAAACAGATCTAGAATCAAAAAATGAGTTTTCTTGATCCAGATCTAAGAAAAAACCGCCGAAAAATCCAAAAAAATTCCAAAAAGGTACTGTTCACCAGCGATTTTTTCAGTTACTGTTCATCCGGGAAAAAAACCTTACTGTTCATCCGAAAATTTTCGTTACTGTTCATCCGAACAAAAAATTTAATGTTCATCCGAAAAACAAAACTGAATCTTTAACCAGAGATTTAAGATCAAAAAACCCAATAAAACTTAAATCCCTAAGAATTAATCATCTTTAACCAGAGATTTAAGATCAAAAAACCCAATAAAACTTAAATCCCTAAGAATTAATCAAGGTGGTTCTGATACCACTTGTTAGAAGATCAAAAAACCCAATAAAACTTAAATCCCTAAGAATTAATCAAGGTGGTTCTGATACCACTTGTTAAATCTAAACTCAAACTTGAGATCTAAAACCATATAGCCATGATTAATTCAAAGAGATTAACAATAATCTAAAGAGTGTGGAAGGTTATACCTGAATCCATAGAAGAAATCTTGATTTGGGTTTCAATGATCTTCTAACCTTAGGGTTTCTCTAAATCCGAATTTCTCTTTCTAGATGGGGGTGTAGAGAATTAGAGAATGTAACCCTAGGTTAGGGACCATAGCCCCTTATTTATAGATGTTGTACTTTTATAATTTAGCCCCTCAATAAATCACAATTACAACCTGGTATCTGTACATATAACCCCATGATTATATTTAAATACCCATTAACCCAACTTAATTGATCACTTTAGTGGGTTATCCTGAAAGATAGCAATACACATTGATTAATCATATGTGCCCACAAATAGATTTATTAGATTAAATCCAACACAGATCACCGCCAATCATCTATCTAATCTACTTCTTATTAACTAAAAGAGAACACTCAAAAAGCTCCTATGAACAGTAAATCTGATCTGGACCAATCCAATTATTCATAACAAAATTATTTTTAAAATCCATCTTTATAAAAAAAACTATAATTCATCACCCACTTCTCATAACCCCACTTCTCATAACCCCACTTCTCATAACCGTGAACAACCGCCTCCACTACTGTAACTCCCACATCTATCCAATTACTATTATCCCCCGATGTAACATCTTAACCCTCCTCTCACCGCTCCCGAACAATTGTTCGCATCAGCAACGGTTTAATCGCCACCCTCAACATCATCACCCTCCTCCTCTCAATTCCGATCGTCGGCAGCGGAATCTGTCTCTCTTCCAAGTCCTCTGCCTCCATCTGCGAGAAATTCCTCTCCAATCCTCTCATCGCTTTTGGTGCCCTTCTCTTTTTAATATCCCTCGCTGGCCTCCTCGGTTCTTGCTGCAGGTTGTTTAAAAATCCCACCTTTGATTTATTTTTTGGTTGTTAGGATGTAGAGAAACTGGGTTTTGTTTATTTTCCTCTCATTGTTGGAAAAACTCTGCTTTTGGGCTATTTATGCGACACGTGTTTTTATACGGGAACTGGTTTTTTTAATCCCATTGTAAATCTTCAAGTTGAGTTTTGTCCTTTGTAAAATTGAATATATTTTGTTAATTTCCTGATGTAGATTGTCTTAAAATTTATAATTTTGATATATTTGTAGTATTTCCATAAATTTAGTTGGGTTTTATTTGTTTTCCTTACATTACTGCATATAAGTCTTTCCTTTTACATTATTTTAAAGTAAAAATTTGGTATATTTTGATACATGGTTTGTTGTTTATTGTGGGTTATCTTTTTGTTTGAATGTAATTTCGATTTGAGTGTTGGGTTTTTCTTTTTAAAGTTTGAGTCTTTTTTTAATCCTTTATGATAAAGCCTCTGCTTTCGTATGATTTTTTGTGAAACTTTGGTAGCTTTTGAGACCTGGGTCTCTTGTGTATGCTTATGTCGATTCGGGTAGTGGGTTTTGACTGCAGTTTTTCAATCTGCTATTTTTTTTTAAAAATATTTCACCTGAAGTGCGTTCTGGTAGTTTTTGAGACATGGGTTTATTATGCTCATAATTTGAATCGTGAACTGCATTCTCTTTTATCTGACTGTAATTTTCTCCTGAAGACTGCATTCTCAAACTGAGGTTGAATAATGAGTTTCTGAACTACATTCTCTTTTACTAAAACTACAACAAAATAGTGAGTAAGAGAAGGGAGGATTTCTCTTCTTCTACGTTGCGAACTCAAACTGAGGTTGAACAATGGTTTAGAAAGAGAAATAATAGGAATGATCTAATCTAAACACTAAGGACAAAACTACCCATTTTGTTTTTCTGCCTGTTTTCGAATTTTCTACTATTTTTAAATTATAAAAATGCTAATTTCGGAGTACCGAAGCAATCCTCTTATTATTATTATTGTTGTTGTTGTTGTTGTTGTTGTTGTTGTTTGATTTCATCTTTTTTGGTTTTTTTTTGGATAGTAGGTAAAACTAACTAATTTTCCGATTAAATTGGCTTAGTTGCACTTAAATACCCTATAGTTTCACCTACTGGATATATATGTGCAAATTTGGTTAAACTGTAGGGTATTTATGTGCAACTAAGCCGCTTGAATTTGAAAACATATTTAAATAACTTCTTGGAATTATAATGAAACATGTGAAAAAGATAAATGAAACTATCTTTGAAGTATCATCTTGATAAGCAGCTGAGGAAATAAGGATAATTACCACAATGTGTTTTAATCTAGATGTGATAATAATACATTTGGGTTAGAGAGAGCACCACCATTGCCCAATTTAATTCAGTCTATCTTTTTTTTGTTAGTATATAATGTTTTGATTCCAAAACTTTTTATTTCCTTAAGTATCCTTTTTTTTGTTAGTAACATGTTTATTTCCTTACTAAAACTTTATTTTGGTAATATGTTCCATATTTGCATAAAATCTTTTAGAAACCGTGCTTTGCACGGGTCTAAATACTAGTTTGTTATAACTTCAGAACTATTGTGTTGAACGTTTAAACCATCTACTAATTGGTTTGGTGTTTCCAATTAAATTTTTTTCGAACAGTTCTGTCTCCTCTTTTATTACACTTTCCTAGACATCATGATTGAGCCTCTATTTGACGTAAGTATCTAGGATCATTGATGATTTAAAAGTTCAAATATCTTGTTATCCACTAATTGACTTAGATCATCTTAACAATAGGTTGGTATTAACCTTAGTTCTTACCTTGGGTTGTTTTCTTTTCCGTGTTTTCATTTTGGAACCTTGTACAATTTCTAACAACCTAAACAGAGGAGTGGAAAACATTGCATGCGTGATATGTCCTCTGACTCCCACCCAAAAACCTCCCACCTTAAAAAAAAAGAAAAAGGAAAAAAAACACACCATGACCACCACCACCACTACTGTCTAGCTTTCTAGTCAGGAGATCTTCAAGTTGTCAATGAGATCTTCTATTTGTAATATGATGTTATGCATGTCTATCTGTGAGTGCAAATAATTTCCCTATCTTTACACCCACAGGCATTTTGCATCCAGTGAATCAGTGTACCTTCATAGAAAGTAAAATGGAGAGTGGAAACGTCACTTTTGAAATCTTAAGGAGTTTTTCTACGAATCTTGAAACTTAGGAGATTCCCATAATTGACCCTTTTACTTGATCATGAAAATTGAAGAAAGTATTTAAGTATTTTTATTCCATGAAGAGTGTACTCTCTAGGGAGTAGCCTTTCTGATGCTTCTCCGTTTCCCCTTATCAGCTAATGCTTGGGAGGAGGGTGATGAAGTTGTATTAATCACGTGTCGCCTTCAGAATCCAGATCTGGATATGGTCAATGGAGCTGTCAAAGAGAAGCTTGAAAATTTCACTAATGAGCTGTATGTGCTTCCAAATCGTTAATGTTTTTCAGATAATATATCTTCTCCATTTTAACTTGTCCTTTTCTGTTTAGATATGAAATGAGGTTCAATATGAAATCGGGGGCTGCTTCCCAGAAGCAACTATCAGTATCTGCAGTAGATTTTCCTCGAATCAATGAGAGTTACACTAGCAGGTATTCATGGAAGTTAACATTTTAGTTATAGTCAACAGACATAAACGCCATCTCCAGAACACCTCAAAAAGTTTTTTTTTGAAAAAAAAGGAAGGGAAAAATGGTAGCACATGAAAATCATGCTACCCGTCTGTCTTTATGGAATTTGATTCCTATTTCTGTCAGTATGCATTATATAGGTCTAGAAAATTGCAGTTAAGTATTTATTTTCCTTACAAGACACAGTTAATTTGATCTTTCATTTTAAAGAATTCTAGGCGTGTAAAATAATTTCAAGCGCTCAAAGTGAGCTCAAATTCCTTCTTCTTGGGGTCATTTTCTTTAGCGGGAGTTAAACTATCAAATAAATACATCATTTTTCTCTCAAAAGTCTAATTCAAATCGCCAAAAAGGTACACAAAGATTTACTTAAATTGTGTACAAAGGTCAATACTTATTAACTGTGCTTACGCAAAAATCTTTTCAAACAGGGGTTTTAGGGTTAAATAGACTCTTTTTTCCATAGATGGGAAATTCTCTGTATTTCTTCTTTGAAGATTTAACTCATATCACATTTTACATAATATTTGCCTTTCTTTTGACATAAACACTATTTTAGTATGAGTACTTATACTATTTCAGTGTGGATTGGTAAAGTACCAAGAGCTTTTAAACTCTTAATGCCTGAGAGTTGGCCATAATTTTATTTGCATGCTATAAATTGAATTTCTGTGTCTCTGCTAATTTCGGGATCTATCTATAATCTTAAAATTTTCCCTATATATTATTTGTCATGTTAAAGTGTTGTAATTGCTAAATGATTCTCAAATAACCTCGATGAAGAGGGAGTTTCCGTATTAAGCAATTACAGGAATTTTCCCTCGCAATTAATGAAGTCTTTAACTTGCAAATGGTTTGAACTGCCTGTCATAATTCCACTTATTTCTTCTTGTAATGAACCAGAAGTGACTGGATATACAAAAATTTCATCCCTTCTATAAGTTTCACTCTATCTTGTATTATCATTAAGTGTATGAGATGGACCACGTGAAGCCAATATGTATGATTTTCTTATTGCTTGTATTGCTGATTGAATACCAGAAATTTTTTAATATTGGATAACATACCATACCACAATTTCTTTAGATTAATATGTGGTTCATTTATGGCACCTAAGAGTCTAGTTGTGTACTTATATTATCATGTTGGATTTCAGGAAACAACAATATGTGTATGGTACTATACTAGATAGCATCGCAAAGGTAAAGGGTATTATAAAGTTTGATCTGCATGCCGAACCAGAGGGTGGTAAAAAGGAGCTCGAAGTTGGAGGAAATGTGCAAGGTATCTTTGACCTGGGACCTGGAAGATATGGTTCAGAGGCGATATTTGTGCCTCGCAAACCTGGCATCACGTCAGAAGAGGATGATGGATACTTGATATTCTTCGTGCACGATGAGAACACAGGGTACTCTCTCTCGCTACCCCCTCCCCCCAAAAAGAAGAAGAAGAAAGAATAAATAAAATAATAAAAATTATAATAAACCAGTAAGTGCTTTGTACACAAGTAAAACAGGAAGTACAGCAAAAGGGGAGAGCAGGGTTGCTAGGTACAAGGGAGACTAAAGTTTGCCTGCTTCTGGTAACAAAATGGCAAGATGAAATAACATAATAAGTGTATAGAAGGTAATACATATTTACTTAAAATGTTATATTGCTTTATCTAATTTTAAGGGTGGGCACTATATGTCTTGGGGGAATGCATTCTTATTAATTTTATTGATATCCTCTTGCGACGATCATTTTTAATATTAAATTAATAGCAACAAGAGTGAGGAATATGCGTTGTTGGCTCATCACTCATCTTTCTTTGTTTGTATATGAATGCAGGAAATCTGAAGTCAATGTAATCGATGCGAAAACAATGTCAGCGGAACCTGTAGCAGTTGTGGAACTTCCAGCTAGAGTTCCTTATGGATTCCATGCCTTCTTCGTAAATGAGGTCAGAAGATCACAGTTCTACACAAATAAAAGAAGATAACTATAATTTTATTGCCATAAGATATCAAAGTGTCATCATATTTCCATAACTTCCATCAAAGTTGATTCATTTTCTTGCATATTTCACAGGAGCAACTCCAGCACCAGCAGGCAGAGGCGTGACTGATCGCGCGAGAACGAATCTAGATGATGAAATGATACGAGGCAGAACCCTGTAACTGAAGTTACCTGAAACTCTTTACTCGTGTTTAATCACATTGATAGATACAGTATGTATGCGACTAGTGCCAATAAGAATAGTTGGGACTGTGTCGGTTACAATTTGTGTTGCGCGTGAAACTCTTTATTCTTGTCAATAGAAAATCTTGATACGCTTTGTATTATGATGCTGCTTGGGCTTTGGATTAGCCGAGTGTGGGTCTTAAGATTATCGCTCTTAAGAAAGGAAAAGCTACTAAAAATTTCTCTGTTTAGATTTACCTAGTTCATTATTGCATCTCCAATAGAATTAAAAGGTTGATGTTTTGAATCTTCTTGTGTATGAATGCGAAGTGAATCTCCTCAGGGACCCAAATACATTACCCGCTCGCATGCAGACGAACTCATAGAGGGGTGAAAACTCCTATCAACTTAAGTGGATAGGAAATAGTGATCCACCAAACTTTTTATCCATGGATCTTGCCTAGGGATCCTTGCATGATATGAAGAGACTTTTTATATTAATAAATGAATGGCTAAAAAGTTTGGTGGATCACTATTTCTTATCCACTTAAGTTGATAGGAGTCTTGCTCCTCATAGAGGATGTATTATTCTAGTTTATATTATAAATCTGATTGTAGTGTTATTCTATATAAACTGAGGTGATTTAAGATTGTGGTTTTTTTCCTTCTTTTCTTTCTTTCATTTTTTTATTGAGATGATTTAATCGTTGTAGTGTTATTCTATACAACATGAGTTGATTCATCAGCAAATGAAACGCATCTCATATTCTATTTATTTTTTTGATGTATTAAAATATTATATTTCATGACATTAAATATGTATCAAAAGAGTATCAATCATGCATGCAAGGATATATTAAAACTCAACGGTTCAAGAGTTGACATTTATCAAGGGATACTCTCCCCCTTGGACATACGGTAAGGGGGTGTTTGGTTCAATAGTGGGCAATAATAGGATTAGGAATCCCGTATTTTTTTATGGATTCCTATCTAATCCATAAAAAAATTTAAGACAATTTTATGTTGTCATGGTATCTTTTTTTTTTATTTCTATGTTTGTTTCATAACATGAAAAATAGAATCCAACTTTATAGAAACCCTCCAGTTCATTTTCATTAGTTTGGTTTGGAATGAGAATAGGATTTGGTCTCATAAAATATAGGGTTTGTGAAGAAACAGAATCCGAAAAAAAAGAGGGAGAATAGTACAAATGTGTCAGCTTTCTGCCTCAAATCCGCCCAAATTATTAGGTTTCTATAAAATCAGGATATTTTTTCAACTATATAGATTCCTAAATCTATAAATTTTTGGGGAACCAAACTCAAGAATAAGATTCATAAAGAATCCTTTATTACAATTTTGACATTGTCAGACCTAAATCCTATTTCTTTTCCATAAAAATGGTGAAACAAACAGCCCCTAATTCTTTAGGGACAAAGATTACTTTCTTTAGTATCGTGTATGAACGGTTAAGATTAAGCAATAGAAGTCAACCTCCATCCAAATACTCATCGATGAAATCAAAACCGTTCATAAGCCACTCAACGGCTATGATTTCTATATGAGCGGCACGAAAGGACGGTGACGCTTCGACAACAACGATGTCCGACACTGGGCTTTCTCCGTCGGGGAAGGGCCGCGATTGTGATCCGCCCCACCCAAAAAAAAACAAAGGAATGGGCCCCCACTATTCGTCCGTCTTCACCTTGTCTCCTCCCCGATGCGTGGACTTCTGCGCACTGCCAGCTGTCAGTTTCTGGGTCCCAGAGCTCAGTGACCGAGAATGGGAGGGCCGCTCTGAATATTACTCCTTTGACTATCAGCCAACGGTTAAGGATCAGGTACGGATCAAAATGAACGGCCCATGTCAGCCCACTGGATTCCTGACCATTTGACGGAGATCCCCACGCCTCACTGGCGGAAATCTCCCTCACCTTCGAATTCATCGAAATTCTCCCCCCTACTCCTCTTGTTCTTCTTCTTCTACTTCTAAATGCTGTCCTGACTCAAAAACTCAAAAAAAAAAAAAAAACCCTAGCTCTCTGTCGACCCCATCAATTGCGTCCTCCGCCCTCACCTGCAACCTCGCGCTTCCCCTCTCTCTCCCGTCGCAACCCCCGCTTCCCAAATCCACTGCCTCGGCGTCCCTCAGTTCCAGCTCCATTTCTAACCCTAACCCTAATTCTCATCTCAGATCCTCACGCCTCTCCCCGTCCCCTCTACGCCTTTTCCAAACGACAGTCCCTCTCACTCCACCGCCTCTCTTCGGTCAAAGCCTCCGCCTCCTCCGCCACACCCCGCCGCCGCCTCCCGCTCTCAGCCGCCCTGCAAGGCGCCGCCTTGAAACCCTCGCCGCCTCGATCCTCACCGGCGTCATCTCTTGGTTCGTCCCCGTCGCCGCCGCGTCACAGAAGCGCGTGGCAGCTGCTCGCCATTTTCTTGGCCACCATCGTCGCATCATCACTCAGCCGTTGCCCCTCGGCGCTGTTGCCCTGATGGGCCTTGGCGCCTCTGTGCTCACCAAAACCCTAACTTTTGCTGCTGCGTTCTCGGCGTTTGCCGATCCCATCCCCTGGCTCATCGCGCTTGCCTTCTTCTTCGCGCGAGGATTCATCAAGACTGGGCTGGGTAATCGTGTTGCTTATCAGTTCGTCTCCCTGTTTGGCTCGTCGACCCTCGGCCTTGGCTACAGTTTGGTCTTCTCTGAAGCACTTTTAGCTCCGGCGATCCCCTCGGTCTCGGCCCGGGCTGGTGGGATCTTTCTCCCGCTCGTCAAGTCCCTCTGCGTTGCCTGCGGAAGCAATGTCGGTGATGGGACTGAGCACAAGCTCGGATCTTGGTTGATGCTTACTTGTTTCCAAACATCGGTGATTTC